AAGCTGCCTGAAAATATTGAGACTCTCTTGTAGACTTTTTTTCTACTTTTTTTCAGTAAAAACAGGCATAAATTGTAAGAATTGGTCAAGGGGATTTGTTGTGGCAGGAGTGGTAATATTTGATTTATTCTAGTAGGAATATTTAATTTACCATGTAAACTAATTTTGAGTAAAATAAAAATATAACAATTTTAAGTGATTGTTGGTAATTTAACCACTTGCTGCTCCTGCACAGTAGATTTACAAGCTCAATCACGTACATATACTGTATTTGATTGAGCCTGCACTTGTTTAGGAGCACACAGTGGGCCCCTCCTGTGACTGTTGTGTCCACCAGACACAGCAGATCAATGTTATGCTCCATGTACACGGGACACTTCTGAACGATGGAAACTGACTGCTGGAAAACGTAGGTTAAGAATCATCTGTTTAGCATACCGCGTTTATGCGCGTTTATGAGCATTTGCGTTTAGAAGTGTTTTTTAAAAATAACCTCAGGAAACCTTCCAAAATGCCCAGAATGCACTGAAAAACAGTAAAAATTAACTATTTCAGACATTTTGAGAGAAATAGAGAGAGCAGAAGCAGAGAAAGCAGTATTTGTTGAGATTAGCTGTCTTTTTTTTTTTTGTGGTGTTTGGATGTGTTCCAGCTCATTTCTGTGAAGAAATTATTGCAGCAGTGTCTAACATATTTTCTTTCATGAGAAACCTCAAAGTATGGTGTTCCAGGTCCATCTGAGTACTGGGAAAACGCTTTGCATGCATTTTTCATTATGAAAAAAAGCTCTGGACAGCATCTAGAAATGGAAGCGTTAAAAACTAAATTTCAAACGCCTATAAACGCAGTTTACATGTATTTACAAGCATTTTGCATTTGAAACGCTGATAAAATCTACTGCTGAACGCAAGTTTTCTGTGTTAAAAAAAAAACGACTGTAAACTCAACTGCCTGTAAATGACTGTAAGCAATGATGTGTACATGGACATATAGGAAAACGTTAGGGAGAGTTCAAGGGCTCCTGAAAAAAACACTGAACAGCTCCTGAACGTGAGTTTATCAGCTGCAGTGTACATGGAGCCTTATCAGTAACTGGATTTTATGCAATCACTATGATTGGTCAGACTGTGTGATTCCTCAGACTGTCTACTTTCCAAAAAGGTGGTAATTGTACTGTCCTGTGATTTTAGGGCCTCAATGAAGTGAGGCCGTCAGTACATGGAGACTGATCAATTTTCAGATATACATATATGCCGTAGTTTGTAGATGCTATCATTTTCACACAAACCAATTAATATACACTTATTGGGATTTTTCTTACCAAAGACATGTAGCAGAATACATGTTGGCCTAAATTTATGAAGAAATTAGATTTTTTGATTGGATATGTGTAATAACAGAAAATAGTAGAAAATGTCAGGGGTTTTTTTTCAAAATGTTCGGTCTTTTCAATTATATAACAAAAAATAAAAACCACAGTAGTGATCAAATACCACCAAAAGAAAGCTCTATTTGCGTGAAAAAATAATAATAAATACAATTCATTTGGGTACAGTTTTGCATGGCTATGCAATTGCCCGTCAAAGTAGCGCAGTGCTGAATAGCAAAAAACAGCCCAGTCATGATGGGGTAAAACCTTAAGGTGTTACTAAACCCAGGACCCTGCATTCATTATATCTGGTCTCCTACAGCACGCAGACCATGGACTTGCAATTATTTTAGTAATTATAAACTGCTAAATACCTTTTCTCATCAGCAGTTAGAGCAGTCTTGTGACTTCTATCAGTGTCCAGCAGAGCACTGGTTAAAGCATAGGAGTAGTTTTCTTTCTGCTCTAGGAATATAGAAAAACCTCTGAGCTCTGTCTGGACAGTGCTGATTGGCCCTGTGCTGATCATATGCACTCTTCCAAGAAAAAAAAAAACTCTCTGGCAATACACACCAAACTGAGCATGTGCAGAGTGGCTCCACACCATATACCTTATCAGGAGATAACAGGGGGACACTGGAAGAAGGAGATGGTCAGAGAAGTCAGGATCAAACAGCCTATTTACACAATGCAGAGGATTAACCCCTTAGGTTCCACAGTGAGTATAACAAGCATGCTTTACTGCATATACAGACTGATTTTACTGTCGTGGGTTTAGTAACACTTTAACCACTTGCCAACTGGGGCAATGTTGCCATTTTCCACATACATGTTGAAATTTGTATTTTTTTGCTAGAAAATTAATTAGAACCCCCAAACAATATATGTTTTCTGAAAGAAAAGGCCGTGGAAAATAAAATGGTGGTTGTCGCATTTTTTCAATGACACATGATATTTGCGCATCCATTTATCAAATGCAAATTTTCAGGAGAAAATGCACTTTAATCTAAAAACACAATATAATACAAAACACTAGTCACAACATCCAAAAGCCATCTCCAGATCTGCCCCAAGCTACATCATCAGCTTCATCTTAAAATATCACCAAAACCAGGCACCTCCCAAGACTTCTTAGTGTCCCTTCCCATGTTCATCTCCAGGACTTCTCCAGTGGCTCTCCGATCCTCTGAAACTCTTTACCCCATTCCATTTGGCTGCCTGTTACTCTGTCCACAGTCAGGTGATTATTTAAGAAGAATTCTGGTCAAAAATTTTATTTTCCCATTCAGTGGGCCTGTGCACACACTGCATGGGTTAAATGATCTTTTTTTTAGAGGTTTGGTAAGCGGATATACTTACCTAATCCATCGATCTTCTAAGCACAAGACTGGTCCCCGCTGCTCCTGCCCCCCAACACACTAGTGATCTTGTGAATGGGCTGTTCCTGACATCATCAAACCCATAGACCAGCTCCAGGCGAGAAAACAGCAGGAACAGTCCATGGCTGGACGTGGGGGAGCATGCTTTTCCGCAGGATCAGAGGATGAGATAAGTATAGCTTTTCCTTGAACCCCTGGACAAAACGTGCAGTTAACCTCTGCAGTTCGGACACAGCCCCACTGCATGGGAAAATAAAAATTTTGACTGGAATTCTGCTTTAAAAACGCATCTCTTTTGGAAAGCCTATCTGCCATGTATAATATCCTGCATATATATAATTTTTTGTGCTTCAACAGGAAATTTTTCCAAAGTGAGGTGAATTTTTATGTTAGACAGTTGTCAGCAGAACATTTGACACCATGGAGCACTTCCATTGCCTCAAGCACCTTTGGATACAAAAAAGGAGCTTTGTGAACCCTAGGAAAGCAATCCTTGTTCCTTTTTAACTCACTGAATTACTATTGTCCTGCAGATTACAATGTACCGGTATTTTAAAACATTTACATTATAAGGCTCCATGTACACTAACTTAAAAAACGCTCCTAACAGCAGCTTTTGAGTTTTTCATTTTCTGCCTCTAGAAGCAAATAGTATTCCTATGTGTCCATGCATAGCATTTAGGAGCAGAATAAAAACTCTTTTGTTTGAATTTTTGGCAGAACATTTGCCAGCAGAAAAAAAAAAACTGCTGAACGCTCCTAAACTCTGCTAATCGCTGCTAAGAACTGGTTGCCAGCATTTTTTTTCTTTTCCTTAACAAGGGGGCCCCCAGATCCCAGCGACCCCCTATGTGACTGAATATATGGCACATAATAAAAAGATAGAGACAGTTTTTGACAAGTTTTTTATTTGGAAAAAAAAAACGTCCCCAAAGTAAATCCAGCTTCAATCACAAAATAATAATCATGCAGCGCTCATATAACTAATGAAAATAAATATGTAGAAAATGCTGTGCTCACGTATAGATGTGTACCAAGGCACAATATGATAAATAATATAATAATAAATAAGTAATGATGAAATATGTAAAGTGCTTCAAATAAATAAATAAAGTGCTTCAAATTATTGAATCATAAAAAGTCCTTGTGATGATAAGTAAAAATGATAGTGTCTATAAAACTGTGACAATAGGAGAAGATCTGCATAAAAGTGATCAAGAATCATAATCCATGTGCCAATTAAGTATTCGGTGATGTGCCAGGGATATAGTAAAAATACGCACTCTCCGGATGCGTATTTAAAATACGCATATATGTATCCTATGGTCAGCCGGGGGAAAAAGACCAAACCATATTTAATTTTTTAATACATCCACCTGATGTGTTTCTTAATTCATCGATTTTTTTACACTCATATTCTCTGTTGGATTCATTGTCCAAATCATTCCCAGTTAAAGTATTAATGTCAGTGTCAAACTGCAGCTTTGCTCCTTCCTTCTATCAGCATGTTGTTTGTCAGCATATTTGCATGCAGCATACCTCACTGGCCCCCCCAGTTCTGACAGTTCTTTTCTCAGTCTCCTCTGCTGTACCGAAAATGGCTAAAGGTTAATGCCAAGTCAAATTCAGGTACTTACACTAATCAAATTTAAAAAATTCATTTATAAATTTTTTAAAGAATACAGAGCTGTATTAAAAGAGAAGTGTGGAATTAAAAATAAAAACATTATAGTCACCCAGGTGGATGCAGAATTGGTCCAATGCTGCATATGTCCCTGCCACCTCTAAGACAGAGAACTGAGCGATCAAAGACTGCTGAATGCTCAGTTCTTTGTCCTTCAGTGAACAGAGAGCTGGCAACTGTCAGTCACTGGTTCTCAGCTCTGCCCTCCAGCTCTCATTCAAGCGCTGGGCAGTAGAGGGGGCAGGATCGCCTGGCTCAGGATCTCAGTGAGCTGAGCGGTTGAGCCAGCAGCCATTCCAGGCACCTGGATGGATCCCAAGATTAAAGTTGGGATCCTTCCAGAGTTTGGACTGGATGAGTAATGTCAGCCGACAGCAGACTTTATCCCGCTGTCAGCTTAATACGGGTGATCCATAGAAGAAGTAGGGTAAGAAGAGCTTTGGCACTACTTCTCCTTTAATTTATATCTCTTATATCTGTCTGTAATTCATCTTTAAATATCCACAACAATTTAACCAATCCTACAATTGGAGGACACTGATTAGCCCTAATTCCTCTTTGTTATCAGGTTTGTCTGTCCTCCAGAAGGTGCTGGACACTGCGGCAGAGAAGAACTGGCAAGTTACAGCTGTCAACATTCTCACCACCACAGAGGAAGAATATCGTCTGCTTTTTCAGGATCTAGACAAGAGTAAAGATCGTCAGGTCGTGATAGACTGTGAGTCCGAAAGACTGAATGCCATACTCACCCAGGTAGTGTTACCATTATCCTCAAAACCAGCTCTGTATCATTTTCATATGATATTTGGTCAATGTTTGCAAATATTGTGTTCAGAGGCTTTTTGGTTGATCTGTCTTTTTATGCCTTTAATTTGTAAGTGTGGGGACTGTCATAAAGTAAACTGAATTCTGTATGTTTAAAAAAAAAAAAAAAAAAAAAAAAGGTATGTGGGTGTAATTCCAGCTGAGCAGAATGAAAGGAAGCCAGGATTTTTCTAAGTAGGTCAAGTTCAAAAGAGGGTTTTTCCTTAGATCACAGTAGAGGCTTCCCAGGTGGTTCTGGTCCACGGATACATGTCTAGGCCTCTATTACAAAATATAAATTACCGGACTTGGCAGTTGGAAAAAATAAAACCTTTACATTCACAGAAATGCTTGTGTAATCCAGCAAACACTTTGATAATCATTTTCAGCTTTTAGATACCGATGATATTAAAAAAAACACCACCTAAAACCGACGACTCAGCTATGGGCAAATGCTGAGGATGAGAGTCGGTTAGTCACCCAATGACTTCTAATATGTTTTAAAGCTGAATTAATTCTAGGAAAGCAGCTGATTGCATAGGTTAAATACGTATAGTATTTGTAAACTGTCTTACCTGTAAAGGATTTTCAATTCATTTTAACCAGTCTTGTGGTGTTGACACCCCTGCCAGTCAGTATTGACCATTGGCAATAAAGGGCAGCAAGCCAGCAGCACCCTGCATGCATTTCCCTCCCGAAAGTAAATTTAGTGAGGGAGACTAACAACACTGTGCAATGCTGAAGGGTTTGATTAGTGAGAAGGATTGACCCTACCCCTCCTAATCCTACTCTGCTTTGGATCAGAGGAACCTAATACCAAGGCAGGGTCAGGCACTTATTGTAGCTCTCTGTAAAAATACATATTTACTTTTCATTATTTTTATAAATAAATAACTGGATGAAATGGTGTTTTACTTACATCTACCTGGTTTCAAGTCTTAAAATGACCCTGTGATCAGGCTACGAATTTTGACCTAGCGGTGGGCATCACGAGGCGATTCATCCTCAGATTACCAACAGAAGCACTGAAGTCCTCTTGACAGTTCAACTCACCTTATTCCCCTCCCTGAGTGCCATGCATTCATATTAGAGATAGAAGGCTGAAAGGGACACTGATGTGAGGGGAGAAGCGGGAGCTGAGCTGCTGAGAGACTTTGATGAACTGGACAACTTCATTGCTTCTGATGTGAAGAATTTACGAAGTTAATTTATAAATAATGCTGATGGCATTTACAGCAACAAATTGTAATCATGGTGGAAGAGTGGAACTGAAAAACTAACAGGCACGCTCAGGGGCGGACTGACAACTCATGAGGCCCCCGGACAATAGGGGATCATGGGGCCCCTGTGTCTTTGCCCAAACTCAAAAAAGCCTATGAAAAAGGTACCAGGGGCATCTCATGGGGCCCCCTACTGACCCCGGATCCTCGGGCAGTTCCTGAGTTTCCAAATGGTCAGTCCGCCCCTGGGCACGCTCAAACCTTGTAACACTGATGAAATAGGAAGCAAGGGTTTTTGTTAACCCTGGGAATGCAAATCCAACAGAAGAAAAGCCAGCAACACGGTTATTACGCCAAAATCAGTCCTTTATTAGCTTATGTGGTAGGAATCCAGTCCAAAAAAGGGCTCATGTGTCTAACCTAGAAAGCCTTAGTCATAGCACCTATGATGGAAAAGCCCTTTAAAAGAAACATGTCAGGCTTGCTGTTTATCATCACCAGTTCTCAACTTCCAGAGTTGGTGCAGTATCACACATAATAAGGTGCCAGCCTAGGAATTTACTACATCTTTGTCGAGTAGTTCAGTCCAGCACTGGATGTGCCAGGTAGCAGTCATAATGCCAAACTCCCTGTGAATTAGTTAAGAGAGTTTTTGAAAAGCTCAGCTACTCTACATGTGAATGTGTAAACACAATCCATCTCAGCTCTGGTGAATGTTCACTTTGGCATCTTCACTTTGGGTGCCAGGAGACTTAGTCTTGGTGTAGTAATATAATTTCCTATATGCCTGCTGTTGTCTTAGCTAAATGAATAGACCGAGTATTAGAAATTGTCCCATGAAGCTTTAATACATATTAACCCTTTTTTCTGGCCTTATAGATTGTCAAGCTAGAAAAGAACATTGTTGGATATCACTATATTCTTGCCAACCTGGTAAGTGAAGTATCTGGGTTGAAAGGAATTTGCAGGGGCGTGATGCACAGTTGGAGCATTCTGTACTTGCTCATGGTACAAATAGAGCCATTGTTGATTGGAGTGCTGTGATTGCATTACCTAGCATGCGTTGTCACAGGAACCAGCAGACAATGCTATGCTGCAGAGTTCTATACGCATTGGCAGCTACTAAATAATTGCTGCTTTTGTTAAAGAACACAAAAATATTATAAATTGTGAACTGAATTTTCAGCCCACAATGAGTGTTTGAAGTTCACGGACTTTTTTCTGAAGGCTGTAATTGCATTTCTGGGGTCCATTTATTGGCATATATTATGTTATATGAAGAGGTCAATTCTAGAAAGCCTAACACAATACATAAAGGTACATGATAATATAGATTGAAGCTCTATGTATTCTTTAGCTATAGTACTATGAAAGTTGCCATAGAGAACTGAAAAAACCTCACATCTCTTTACATAGGTATTATTTTATTAAGTCATTAGCGAAATCATTTTTTTTTTTTTTAATTCTTTATTTAAGACTCCAACAGAGTGTAACATACAGTACAACAGCTTTGTGATTTGTGAACACACGCATGTAAATAACCATCACATTATTCCAATGCAAACAATACTGTAGGTAGGTCCACAAATAACAAAATTCAAATGTCAAACACCTAGTGGCAAACATAAGCTATGTAAGTAATCGTTGTTCCAACTCTCCATTACATTTTTGCAGGGGATAAAGGGTGATAGATACATATATAGATAATAGATATTTACTGTATGTGTTTGCTAGCTGCTAGGGAGTTCACATTTTTGTACCTCTCCTTGGGGGGCTGCAGTTTTTAGATCCATGTGCTTGGATTCCCAAGCCTGTGGAATTGCTGTGGCATATATAAAGGGCTCCCACTCTTCCGCTAAGATTTCTTATGTATGTTATATTACAAAGAATGCTGAAGGAAGAGTGGAAACATCTTAAATCATGTAGGAATTGCCTAACACAGGTGAGTATGGAAGACAGGGACTATGGCAGCCAAATCTCATTGCTAGAACCCAAGTTCTATTGAGGAGATTTACTTTCACTTCCAGACCTGTAGACAAAACAGGAAGTGAGAAGAAATCTCTTTAAAACGTGGGGCATCCCTAATTAAAAATTTGGGATTTTCTTTTACATTTAGCCCCAATGATCTTAGTCACCAAAACAAACAGAGAGCACATCTCCCCAGTGGAGACACAGACAACAATAAAAACCTGACAGGGGTTCTAATGCTTTTCTATTCTACCCAAACATTTTAAAAATGTGTAGCTTCAATTTCAGGACATTTAATTAAAATTATCTTTTGCTGATCCTTCTTTGGTCTTTGTTCATTTACCTACAGTTGTGGCCAAAATTATTCAACCCCCAATGCTGTAAAGGGGTTTAGGGACTATAGTGTACATTTGGAATTGTATTCAGAATCAAATCCTACAAGGACGTTGTAACTACCCAAATGCAACTAAAATGACATCAATTGTTTATGTAATACAGTAGTAAATGGTTCTTATGTGGTTTCTTCATTGCCACAATTATTCAACCCCTTAAAGACTACCACTCTGAAGAACAGAGGTTCATACAGGTGCTTTCCATCAGGTATTGAAAACACCTGTGGATGTCACCGAGCAGCAATCAAGCATAATAAGCACCAATTAGGCAGCTTTAAAATGACTGTGATACTCAGCTCCTTCTAGACATTTACTGGTGTGGTTACAAACATGGTGAAGGCAAGAGAATGGTCCAGGAAGACAAGAGAAGAGGTGATTTCTCTTCACAGGAAGGGCAATGGCTATAAGAAGATTGCAAAGATGTTAAACATACCAAGAGACACCTTAGGAAGCATCATTCGCAAATTCAAGGCAAAGGGCACTGTTGAAACGCTACCTGGTCGTGGCAGAAAGAAGATGCTGACTTCGACTGCTGTGCGCTACCTGAAGCGTAGAGTGGAGAGAAGTCCCCGTGTGACTGCTGAGGAACTGAGAAAAGATTTGTCAGATGTGGGTACAGAAGTTTCAGCCCAGACAATAAGACGCACACTGCGTAATGAAGGCCTCCGTGCCAGAACTCCCAGGCGTACCCCCTTGCTGTCTCCAAAGAATAAGAAGAGTCGACTGCAGTATGCCAAAAGCCATGTGGACAAACCACAAAAGTTGTGGGATAGTGTTCTGTGGACTGATGAAACAAAATTAGAACTGTTTGGGCCCATGGATCAACGCTATGTTTGGAGGAGGAAGAACAAGGCCTATGATGAAAAGAACACCTTGCCTACTGTGAAGCATGGTGGAGGGTCAATCATGCTTTGGGGCTGTTTTGCTTCTGCAGGTACAGGGAAGCTTCAGCGTGTGCAAGGTACCATGAATTCTCTTCAGTACCAGGAGATATTGGATGGAAACGTGATGCAGTCCGTCACACACCTGAGGCTTGGGAGACGTTGGACCTTTCAACAGGACAATGATCCCAAGCATACCTCCAAGTCCACTAGAGCATGGTTGCAGAGGAAAGGCTGGAACATTTTGGAGTGGCCATCGCAGTCACCAGACTTAAATCCGATTGAGAACCTCTGGTGGGACTTAAAGAAAGCAGTTGCAGTGCGCAAGCCTAAGAATGTGACTGAACTGGAGGCCTTTGCCCATGAAGAATGGGCGAAGATACCCGTAGATCGCTGCAAGACACTTGTGTCAAGCTATGCTTCACGTTTAAAAGCTGTTATAACTGTAAAAGGATGCTGTACTAAGTACTAAGATTGAATGTCACTTGGGGGTTGAATAAAACTGATAATGCTGTGAGCACAGAAAAGACATTTGTGGTTATTTCATTATAACTGTTATGTTATATTTGTCTGACCTACAAGTGCCTCTTTAATGTAAATGTAAGCAAGATGACTGAATGATCAAAAGCAATGTCAAACTGGCCAAAACACTCAATTTCAGTGGGGGTTGAATAATTTTGGCCACAACTGTATATTATATTATTATTCAGGCATTTATTAATACACAGTAGCTGAGTATAGTGATTTTGCCAAACATAGTTTTTTCAGGAATTACCAGTTTCACGTTCCTCTGCTTCTTCTCTTAGCTATTGTTTTTCTGTCCATTTTTTTTTTTAGTTTAAAATTTTTACAATTAAATATATATTTTTTCTTGTTTTCATTCATTTTATTTATTACCGTTTTCAGTGTTGCATAACAAGAACATGTGCAGAATTGAAAAAGTAACCTTTTTTTATTTTCAATTAACTATGTCATGCTTTATACCAGCAACAATATTTTAGTGTCAATTTAAATGGGAAAATATATAGAATAAAATGTATAATTATTTTATACAGTGTAAAAACTTTTTTAACCTTTTTCACTACCAGAGCCTTTTTTGTTTTTAGCACACATGTTTAAAAAATAATTGTAGTCCTGAAGATGAGTAAAAAACCTAAACATTATATGTTTTCTGAAAGTAGAGGCTCTGGAGAATAAAATACTCATAATTCCAAATGTCATGAGATATTAGTGGTTTATCAAGAACACATATTCTGTAAACAATACACTAAATTTAATTTGAGAGCACAAACGCAATACCAAATTTTTTGATAAAAGGTAAAAAGTGAGATTGCATCGAGTAAACAGATACACATGTCAAGCCTTAAAATTGTATGTGGTGATATGTAGCATGTGCAGCACAATTGATGTTTTTGTACACAGGTGCCCCCATTATGTGTGTTTATGTTCCCATATGTGTCCATGTAGGCAGGGCTCAAAAAAAAATTTTGGGGATGTTTTAAGTGTTATATATTTAGGTCATAACATGTAACATAGTGCCAAGTGGACCCAACATTTTTTTGGGGGGGATTTAGGTACAATATATTTAGGGTGTAGCATGTACCATGTATACTCCCCCACCCCAAAAATGCCCCCCCCCCCCCCTCTTACAGTGAGTCAGGGTTCTTCTTGCCCACAGCAGCTTTAAGATTTGCAATTGGCATGGCTGTGGATGGCTATACTCACACAGTCGCACAGATCTCTGTGAATGAATAAACTGCAAGTCCTGTCTGTCACTGCACAAGATGGATTTGTACTTCTCAATGAAACAAAAGTTCAGTGATCATTCCTCCATCCACCTCCTTTGTGTGTATCTGTAGGCTTTCTTTTGTTCAGCCTTCTAGCTGAATGAAAAAAACTAACCATCTATAGCCAACTTAATGCTCATTAAAAAAAAAAAAAAAGTTAACTGAGTTCACTACAGTCAATTGCAGGGAGATGTTACATAATGTATTGAAGCCACAGGATCAGCAAGACATCTAGGCATGTTAGTTCAGAAATAGCTCAGCAAGGGAAGCCTACTTATCTCTTTAATTACAAGTGACCCTTAAAACAGTCCTGCCTATATAGAAGGGTATATAGAATCTCTTAGACATCCAGGGTGTTTCGTTATGGGTCCAAATCATTTTAACAGTTTGTAGTACCCTGTGAACAGATAAAAAAAATATCCTCTTTCAAAATTTTAGGGTTTCATGGACATTGAACTGCAGAAGTTTCAAGAAGCGGGGGCCAATGTTACAGGATTTCAGCTGGTTAACTACACAGACGCCAGGGTATCGCAGATATTGCAGCAATGGAAAACCTATGATGGTCGGGAACAACCTCGTGTAGACTGGAAGAAACCAAAGGTAAACCTCTAAAATGACAAGGCTGTCCCAAGATTCACAGGGACCTAGCAACAACAATTTTGTGAACTGACTGATTGGAATTTTGAACGGATAAGTTAATTTTCTTGTACACGTAAATAACAGCCTCTATCCTATATATGTAGAGATACATTATAAGACATATCTTTATTGCTGTTTGTTGTTTTTTTTTTCATTACTCTCCATGTATTAGTATAAAAAGTATTTGCTTTCTATATTTGCAAGTCTTACCTAATATCTCAGAGTGAATGTCACAAGAGACAGTGGCCAGCTTGGAAGGTTGCACATGTTTGGAATGTTGATGCATGCTGTGTTGCATGGGGAAATTTATTTTTTAACACACATCCACAGATCAAAAAAACATAGCAGGTTTATTTTTTGACAGCATAGTGCACCATAACTTAGATGTCATAAATTGTATTTGAGGAACACACTGCCACTTAGAATATGTAGATAATCATTAAAAATAAGGAAAGATGCAAAGCTCAGAGTAGGGAGGTTACTTCATCATAAAATGGCAATTGCTACAGTCTCAAACACACAGCCCCCTATGTGTCTCACTGTATCCAATAAAATAAAAATAAGATAAAAGACTGCTGGGCTCACTAGGGGATACAACGGTGTATTCACAATGATTAGATAGTAATAATCCAAAAAAAGGGAAAAATACCAAGCACCTGGCTTATTTACTTATCAGTATAAGAGGGATTGATATAGCAGTCTGAAATAGATCTACTGGTACAAGTCTCCCTCGATATGAATTCTCTGCTTAATAATCCAGATTATACTTCCTATGCTGCTGGGGGGTTTCTCACTAGATCTATAGTAGGAGGCCTCTGGTCCCCTTTTCAGGTCCTAAATTTTGTATACAAAGGGTTAAAGTGACCAGAATCCTCATATAGCTAAGCCCTGATGAAAGAGAGCAATATTTCTCTGAAACGCGTTGACCAACAGCTACAAGGCAGTCTTTTACAGGGATACACATGCATAAACTAGCGTCTTACCAAATTACAGACCTAGTAAGAAACCCTGTCAGCAACCAACAAAAATTAGCCTGACTTAATGAAAAAAAAATTTCCTATTGGGGAGGGGGAGATAGTACCACTAGGACAACTATTTCAGACTACTATATCAAATTCTGCTATAGTATATTTACAGGAAATTTAGCCAGGTGCTTGATATTTTTCCATCTAATGGACACATGGACACATTGCCTTATCCCCTGGGGAGCACAAGAGTTTACTATCTTGTTTTGATATATACAGTATAATCATGCAAAGGGTTCACTTACGCTTCAGTGCTGGTTTTGTTGCATTGAAGTATATGTAAAAGCAAAAATTTTGTTTAGTTATGAATAGAGTAGGGGAGAGTCATATCTTCTGCTAAGTTGTGGTCTGTGTCTCCGGTGGGAAATTCACCCCTCTTATGATCCTAGTGACCACTGTCACCAAGATGTAAAGCAAGTGGAAATTCTAAATTCTGGAGCTATCATGAAACCAAAAAGTGAGGGGAAACCTTCCTATTGGGACAATTTTTTTGGCTACAACTGTTCAAGACTAGAATTCCCTTTTACTTTGCGAGACTGTTGAGTCTCCCAGATAATGAATTAAAGTGGAAGTAAAGGCAAAACCTAACTAACTCTAAACTTACTCTAAGCCACATTGTAAACCTAATCTATCTAGCCCTGTAAACAAATCTAGCCCTGTAAACAAAGCCCTAATCTATCTAGCCCTGTAAACAAAGCCCTAATCTATCTAGCCCTGTAAACAAAATATTGCTATACTTACCTGTTCTGCAGTAGCTCTGGACTGGTGCCAAGCTGAGCTGTCAGCAGCAGCCTCAGCGTGTAGGAGTGTGCAGGAGAGGAGCCGACAACAAAAGCCTCATAGTGACGCCATTTCCCAGGAATTTCCCAGCACACAGAGTGTGCCTCTGGAGACAGAACTAGAGCAGAACAGGTAAGTAAAGCAATTTTTTTCTTTATAGAGCTAGATAGATTAGGCTTAGAATGTGGCTTAGAGTAGATTTAGAGTTAGTTTTTGCCTTTACTTCCACTTTAAGGAAACTCTCCAGAGCAAGGCGCAACCAGGACAAAACTAACCTGAGTGGGGGATATAACCCTTCCCTACTCTATAAAAAAGTGTTGGCTATATATACACATTAACGCATATGGACAAATGTATTGTGTTGTGTATTAACGTGTCTTGCTTTACAGCAGCCAGTTATTTTAAATAAATAACAAAGTGCAGCAAGGCAACCAAAAATAGAGATGCACTATTTTTTCCACCACAGCACAGCACATACGCCATGTATGTTGTGGTACATTACAGTGCAGGGGTGTTGGGGTGCAATTTATTAGTGCATTGGAGTGCCCTTCAAAATGATGGCAACACAATGCACCACACTGCAGTACATGCATTGCTGTGCATTGTGATACAATTCAGAAGTGTGAATATAATTACTTATAGGCAACTGCATGGTCTTGCTATTAGTTCTTCTGCCCGTAAAAAATTCTCTGAAATAAAATAATTTTACAGTTTAATTTCAAAACCTCCCAACACAGAGATTAAAACATATTAATATATATTGCATCAGCAATAACTGCCCTTTGTTGGCAGTGCTGATGACAAAGGCTTGAGTGGTTATTTTTATTATGGTTGACAACATGTGGGAGAGACATCCTTCACCCCAAATACAATTTTTAGTAACATTACTTGCTCTAGCTCCCTCTACCCTGAAGCAGGGTGTGATGACTCACTGCATATATCTGTCATAATATTTAATGCTTAAGTAAGTATATCTTCCAGTCTTGCAAAACTGAAATTCATCTCATTGCCTTAGTTTTGTAATAATTAGTTCTCTACTGCACAATTGGAACTATTCCTCAGATAGATTGACGATGTGTACAGAATTTGTCTTAGCTGGTTAGAATAAAAAAGACGGTTTAATAAAGACACCAGAGAATGTAAGCTATGGACCCACCAAGCTGGGATTCATTAGACTGTCATAATGCAGCCTCAAAGTGAAACCCTACAAACCAGAGCTGGCTGAAGAATAAAGTAACTAAAGCAGGTTGCGTAGACCACAAGCTATAAATCAATGGTCAAATCTTTCATTGAAGATTTCCCGTTATTTTTCTGGGACTCTACATGTCCAATTTACATTTAGAAGGTTTTCTTATTAAATAAATGAGGCCAAAAAGCTATAGCACTGGGGATTAACAATAGAATCAAGTATAGCCAAAACGTTAGTTAGGAGTAGAAAAGGGTTAAAATTCCATTTTTTTTTATTGGCTGTGTTCCATTAGGAAAATGTTTCTAATGTGATTTTGTAAGAACAGATTTACTGGCAGGAAGTTACAGTGAAAATAACGGAAACACTAATGAAATATATTAGTTTTTTTTTTTTTTTTGGAGGGGGGGGGTTTGCCATGAAATGCCCTTGTATACAGCACATAGTATGTAAAAAATATAATACAGTCATTTTGCTGTCTGAGACTGATTTTACCTCTCACATTTTCACAAAAATTTACCATTAATAAATATTATAATATCATCATTATTATCATAATTGTTATCATTAATAATAATAAGATATATTCATGATATTAAAGAGGGAAAATTTTGGATAATAGCAGAACATAGGGTTCTGGGAACAATAAGGAATAGTAGGAAAATGCAAATGATAGCTTTTGTTATCAAAACAGGTCAGTGACTTCTGCAATTCACCGCTGCAAGAAACAACTAAGGGTAAATTAAAAGAAGTTTTAATCCACTTAGCTGTTCTTATTTCAATATTTCACTTGTTGCCTGTTTGGTAGAGTATTTTGATTTATCAGGCCATGTAATTGAAGAAGACGTTGCTTGCTTAGCAATACACGCACGTTGAATCTTACAATCCTGACATTGTTCTTTAACGAATAGAGGTTAATGGCTTATATTCCCAGACTGATTTCAATATCAAAGCAAGGAAGTTTGGAGACACAAACTTTTTTTCCTGTGTATCAAACCCTTAACTTTTAATGGAAGAGCATTATGTAAGCATCCAGAATTATATTCACAAAGGCTGTAGACTCATTATTGACATTACCTTTTTACAGATGTTATACTTTTATAGATTAGGTTTATTCATGGCCACCCCTAAATTTTTTTAGACAAAGGGAAATATCACACAGAGTCTAGAAGATAATACACTGCTCAAAAAATTAAAGTAATACTTTGAAAACACATCAGATCTCAATGGGAAAAAATATCATGCTGGATATCGATACTGATATGGACTGAGTAATGTGTTAGGAGTGTAAGGATGCCCCATCGTTTGATGGAAATTAAAATTATCAACCTACGAGGAATGAATTCAAAGACCCCCCGAAAACCAAGATGAAAAGTGATGCAGCAGGCTAGTCCACTTTGCTGAAATTGCATACTCTTGCCACATGAGGCCAGGCATTGTCGTGCACCAGGAGGAACCCAGGACCCACTGCATCTGCGTAGGGTCTGACAATGGGTCCAAGGATTTCTTCTCAATACCTAATGGCAGTCAGGGTGCCATTGTCTAGCCTGTAGAGGTCTGTGTGTCCCCTCCATGGATATACCTCCCCAGACCATCACTGACCCACCACCAAAACGGTTATGCGGAACGATGTTACAGGCAGCATAATGTTCTCCACGGCTTCTCCAGCCCCTTTCACATCTGTCACATGTGCTCAGGGTGAACCTGTTCTCATCTGTGAAAAGCACAGGGCGCCAGTGGCAGACCTGCCAATTCTGGTGTTCAATGGCAAATGCCAACCAAACTCTATAGTACCGGGCAGTGAGCACAGTTCCCATTAGAGGACGTTGGGCCCTCAGGCCACAATCATGAAGTCTGTTTCTGATTGTTTAGTCAGAGACATTCACACCAGTGGCCTGCTGGAGGCCATTTTGTAGGGCTCTGGCAGTGCTCATCCTGTTCCTCCTTGCACAAAGTTTAATATGTTCCCCTATCATCATAAAAGTGTGCCCAATATTTATTCAGGCAAAAGGCCTCCCCTTTGCTTCTAACTCCACTAGGTGCAGGCCTACTATGGCAAATTAAGCCCTAACTCTACCTATTTATCAGTAAATCCTGCAATTATTCATTAATCCAAGGGTGTGCATGACTTAAAGTAGTTGTAAACTTCAGACATGAAATATGAACAAAAGCTCATCCTTCTATATTGTATATTTGTCTCCCTCCAAAGCTCTGAGCATCAGTTGTTTCTGCTGCTTGGTTCTTCTGTTATCAGCATGACTCACTTCTGAAAAGCTTTTTCCTCAAAGCCAAGAAAAAAGGAAAGGGGGGAGGGGAGCTCCAGCACAGCCTGTGATTGACAGCCACAGCTGTGCTTGTTCTCCATGTAGAGCAGGACAACAAGAGTAGGCAACCTTTTGAGAACAGTGCGCTAAAAACATTTTTTCAAAGAAATTGAGAGTGTCACCTACATAAAAAAAAGTCAACTTTAAACTCTCAATCACAAAATGTAATTTTTATAAGTGAACGCTGTGAAAGACTTTAATAATAGTAAGAAATGAATATTGAGCTTTCAATGATCACTAGTAAGTGGTAAAGTAAATGATGCACACCCTTGTTCCAGAACATGTATTCTGCAAGGTAAGTTTGAAATGAATATATCACCTGCTGCAAAATATACAGTTGGAAATAAAATGTGAGGTGATAGTGGTTATCTCAATTAAGTTCTCTCAGATCAGAACTAATTCTTGTACCTTCACACTTCAGATCACCATAATTCCTGTACAGTAACACTGCAGATCACCCCAAATTCTGAACCTTCACATATCAGATCACCCCCATTCTCTGCACCATCAGACCTCCCATCAGTCCATTTCCTGCACCATCATACCTCAGATCAGTCCCAGATTCTGCACCTTCAGATCTCAAATGAGCTCCAATGTATGCACCTCACATTCAACACAATTCCTGCCTCCTCAATTCTGGCTCCTTAACACTTCAGATCAACCCCACCATCATGCCTCCAATCAGCTCAATTCCTGCACCTTCAAACCGCAGATTACCCCTTCACCTTCACTCACTACTATGTTTTTAAAACATTGACTAAACACATTAGAGCTTCCTAGAGTCCCCCCTTTCATGAGAGTCCCCAAAGTCCTTCCTCTTAAGTCAGGGTTCCCAGAGTTTTCTCCAATTACATCAGGGTTCCTCCTTTAATTCAGGGGCCCTGAAGTTCCCCCCTTACATTAGGGTTCACAGAGACTCCCCACACCTACATCAAGGTTCCTAGAGCTTCCCCTTATATCACAGCCCCCCTTTCAGTGGGGTCCCCAAAGTTCCCCCCTGTACATTAGGGTCCCCAGATTTCCCCCACTTACATCAGTCTCCAGAGGCCCTCCATCCTTTCATTGGCATTCCCAGAGTCCCTCTTTTTTCATCAGGGCCCCCAGAGTTTCTTCCTTTACTTCAGGGACCCATGAGTCCCCCATACCCTTACATCAGGATTCTCAGAGCTCCCCCCTCATATCAGGGTCCCCAGAGTCCCCTTTATTAAATCAGGGTCCCCCAAGACTCCTCACTATTACATCAGTACCCCTGCATTAAATCAATCTCCCCAGAGTGTAGAGTTATTCACTTTAAGATCATCAGAGAGGACAAGGGGGCACTCTTTACATCTGGAGGAAGAGAGGTTTAACCTCCAAATGCAGAAAGGAGTCTTCACAGTAAAAGCTGTGAAAAATGTGGAATAGGCTCCCTCAAGAGCTGGTTCTGGCCAGCTCAGTAGATTGTTTTAAAATAGTGGGTATAGGATTGTCTATATGGAGGTTTTCTTTTTGCGTATGTGTGTTTTGTATTTTAATTCTCTGTGAAAAAAACTTTGAACTAGATGTACTTGTGTCTTTTTTAAACTAGACATACTATTTATCTATATAACAATGTAAACCAGGTTCCCAGAGTTTCCTCACATTAAATCAGCATCCCCAGAGTTCCCTCGAATTAAACATTAAGGGTTCCAAGACACTCTCCACACTTAAGTCAGGGTCCTCAAAATCCTCCCCCATTAAATCAGGATCCCCAGAGCTCCCTCCACATTAAATCAGAGTCGCCCTCATATCAAATCAAGGTCCACAGAGTTCCTGCCACAATAAATCAGGGTCCCCAGATTCCCCCCAAGCGGTCATAGCAACCATCCACTATAGCAGTGGGCAGCAGCAGTGGATGGAACCTGTTTTACAGTGTCAAAACACATGATAGTTCACCCACTGCATTGTTAGATGGTTATGTCAGCAATACCGATGGCTGGCAACCTGGCTCTCATGCCATTAGAAATGTATGCCATGTCAGGCAAGCTTTCGGGGGTTGCTGACCCCTAGTGTAGAGTGAGGGAGAGTGTCAGTTCCCTCCAATCAGGCTCAGAGTTCTTTGCCCTTGTGAATTCAGATCCCCACCTCCTGCTTTCTGCTGCTCAGAGATGCTGCCAACTTTTGTGTTAATATCCGTTGTAGAAGGCTGTACAGAATAAATGGCTGCAGATTATCAGGTACAATTTAGGAAGGAAATTTTGTTTCATCACTGTGTATCATTTGAGGCTAGTCACTTTGCTGGCTATATGTAAGGGTTTACAACCACTTTAAGGTTTTCCTTGTCACCATTAAGTGTCAGCATCTACCTCAACACACAATAAAATGTATCTTCCTCTTTTATATGCATGTTCAAAGTGTTGGGCAACATAAATAAATGGTGGGAGGCAAAGTGAAATGAAGTTGTCCTTAGTTGGCTTGTCTCTTCTACCCACTTTTCTTTGTATCTTTGAAAGAAGATGAGAGACAGCACACAGTGTCGGCTGTTCCATGCTGTTGCTACAGCTTGCCACATAGAGAGAAAAGCATAGTTTATCTGATCTAGAATAGCTTTTTTTAATATATTGGTTACATTTTTTTCATGATAATATTTTGTTTGGTTTCCTCTATCACTTTTCTTCAAAAAGGCTTACCTGCAATGCAGTGTTTCAGAAAATATACTGTAGAACTCCTATCCTTAGCAAGGGCAGAATGAGTGGCTGCTTGGGAGTCCAAGGGGCTCATGATGAGGATTCTACAAATGTTCTATAGTAATTTCAACTTTGCAATTCTTTAGATTTTTTTTTTTGCAGAAAGAGGTCTGCAATAACAGCCGTTGATTTGCTCTCAGTAAAAGTTTTATTGAAAGCCCACCCTTTAGGCCACCCATGTAACGCTCAGGGGGCTCTTCTCTTTATTCTTCTCCAGGTCATTATCAGTCCTTAAGATGTAGACATTTTCTTTGCATGAATATACTGTATGTTGAAGGGTGCTGTGATAACAACCCCTTAAAGGGTGGACCCATGATATCCTGTAGTTACAGTATCTCCTGAGAATCATTCATCAGAAGACTGAGGATATCTAGTGGACAAAAGAAATACTTCAGGGGACATCTCCAGATTAAAGATAAATATTGCAGCCTGAACCTCTGTCTAAATTTTAAACTTGCCAGAAGAGTATTTACATTTTTTTTTAAAAAAGGTTCCTTATAGATGGGCTTGAAGATTATCAAACAAGCATATGCACTATGTATCCACATTCTTTGTACCTGGAAGCCTCGTTTTTGAACCATCGTTCGAGGCATATGCAAACTGTATACTGCTGTATATGATCCATTTCAAAATGCAAACACTACATTTCAAATCCTGCAGAAATGTTATTCAATTCCATCTCAGAAGCAAAATACAAGTTCATGTAAATGCGGAACCATAGTTATGTTCTAAGTAAAAAGGCAGGGGCCATGAATTGAATCAGCCTGGGTTCATGGTACAACTGGTCTTACTAGACTCTTGACATGGGGCAGGAAACCCTGGTGGCAGGAGTCTAGCAAAACCATTGCAATTATTCTTCCCCTGCTTGACACTAGCACATGTGTAATTAACAGCTATGAACAGATTTTTACCCTATTGGGAAAAAAGCTTTACTCATATCATAGTGGTAGGTTGGGTGTTGATAAGGAATACCAGGCATTTTTTAGTAATTCTTGTCTCTGATGTCAACTATGTAGTATACCTCTGCCCTAACGTACGATGGTGTTCGTGTGATGTATGAAGCCTTCCAAAATCTGAGGAAACAAAGAATAGACATTTCACGTCGTGGTAATGCTGGAGACTGCTTGGCCAACCCAGCTGTTCCATGGGGACAAGGCATAGATATCCAGAGGGCATTGCAGCAGGTATACAATGAAAAGATGTAAATGTGAAATTACACATTTGTTTGAAAGTTAAAAGAATACCGTTGTGATGTTAAATTGAATGTGTTTAAGTGCTATTACTTTTAAGACTGAATTTTAAATCTTTTAGTATTTTTGTAACCATTTTACAGTTTTAGATTTATGTTTAAATTATACTTAATTTCAGAAGAAAATAAAGCTTAAAAGAAGTGTTTTATTTATATAAATAAATGGTTGTTGTCATTTTATTCACTTTAAAAAAGGTTCGGCTGGAGGGTTTGTCTGGCAATGTCCAGTTCAATGAGAAGGGGAGGAGAACAAATTATACATTGCATGTGCTGGAGCTCAAACATAAAGGAATCAGACAGGTAAGGCTGAATCTTAACTGAAATTGTGAATCAGATAAATGGTTCAGTGTAGCAGGAATAAAGTTACAGCAAACAAAAATCTATAAAGGTACATTAGCCTTGAAATGTTCTTGTCTGATTGTATTGATTGTATTACTCCCAATGCACTCTTGTTCAGGTCTCCTCCATATTGGACATTTATTTGCATTAAAGTAATTCAAGTCACACCCACCATGACATTACACCCGCCTATAATGTATATAAGCCTTATATAAAGTTGTGTGGATTATAACATCTCTGAATAATATAGAGCAGGCTTTGAAGTAGATATGGAGCCTTCTTCTCATATTTGAATAAACGGAGTTCATACAGTGGAAAGATTTGACAGAAAATCCCTCTAGATTTATCCATGTATTCGGTAAATAAAGTTGACCTAAAGAATGATGTAAATGCCACCTATTTCAAATGTCCCTTGGCTATCCTCTAACTTAATCCAGATCAACAGAAAACCATGCGGATAGCATGATAGCCACTCCATGATCTCTCAGTAAAAATCCTATATTTTTTGATGATTGGTTGTTGTTTGCAAAGTTAATTTTCACTTTAAAAGTTATCATACTCTATTACACAAGCAAATCAAAATTACCAGCTGGTGAACCCCAGTGCAAAATTTGGACCTTGATCTCACCCCAATGGCTTGGACCTTCTTCCTTATAGGGCACACTGATCTATAGTTCGGACAAAGTAAAACAAGCAGAAAAAAAGGTGTTGGTAACATCATTTACTACAGAACTATATAGGTAGCATACTGAGGACTGGTAGAGAAAGCAGTGACCCTTCCCCTAAGCACTCCCAGTATTTGGGCAGGTCACATGGCCAAGCACATGATATGCATGTTATTGTTATTGAGCAATATTCACAAAATGATAAGTGGTGGAAGGCAGCAGGGAATTTAGCTGGCAGAAGGCAGGGTATGCACTATCACATAGATAAAAAATAAATAAATAAATGTGTTTAAGTGTGTGCATGTGGCTGAAAAGGAAATCAGATTCTTATAAAGACTGGTTGTTTTTTTAACATTGCCCAGGGAAGCACAGCTTGCCAAATGAGAGTGTGCATTTCAAAACAAATGCAGTATAGCAAACAAGGGGGTGTGACCTGAGTTCTCACCCTTTCTTTGGCACAGAGGGGGTGTTACTGCAAACTTTGTGCCTGCAGAGAAAAATGACATCATCGCTCTTTTGGAGAAACCCATACCCCTGAAAGTAACAGATGGCCAATTTTACTGTTAGCTGTGCATATTTGGTATTTATTCACCGCTGGGAGTTTTATTTTTTTTGCTATGTAAATGAAAAAGTCCAAACATTTTGAACAAAAGTGTTTTTTTTATAAAATTTTGCAAATAAATAATATTTCATCATAAATCTTTGCCAAAATTTATTACGTTATCTTTTTAGTAAAAATAAACAAAAAACAAAATTAGTTTATAACCAAAAATTATAATTTTTAAACATTTTTTTTTTTACATTTTTATTTTATTTTTTTTATATTATTATTTTTTATTTATTTATTTTTTTACATACTGTCACCCTAGCAGTACAGTGTCACCATGGTGACACTGTACTACTTGTGGGGGGTGATGAAGATTTTTTTTTTTTTTTTACACTGATTGCTTTTACACCCATATAGGTATAGTACTGAGTGAGCTGTGATTGGTCACACCTTGTCACATGGTACAAGGCTGTTGTGAACAGCCTTGTACCATGTGACCTCTGTGATCATTCACAGATTTCACACGTAGTAAGCAATGATGTCACAAGTGACATCTTGCTTACTACTTTGCATGTGATCACTGATTGGCCAATCAGTGATCACATGATCGGGACCTCGTACAGAGGTCCCGTCCGATGATCGGTGTTTCACTGTGTCCGGAGGACACAGCGGGCACCTGATCGCGGTGCTGCGCGCTCCCAGGGAGCACGCACAAGCAGGATGCGGGGAGGCCGTTCATAAATGGCCACCCGACCCTGCACTGCCACCGTCCGGCCGTTTATATGCAACGGCCGGTCGGGAAGTGGTTAAAGATCTTACCTGAGGTGATTGTAGCCGTATTAGTGCATTTGCGACAGAAACAATTGAGTACTGTCCGTGATACTTTTTTTATTTGCACTAACATACAATTTTGAGGACAAGCTTTCGGGGTATGTCTCCTTCTTCAAAGTCCAAACAGTACTATTACAAATCACAAATTTTAAGCAGAATTTTAGAAGGGATTGAGAATCTAAAGATCTTACCTAAAATTCATTGTAAAGCCTATTATGATTGGCTGAAGGTGAAGGTTCCCTAATCACTTTCCATTCGCTGTTAGTTGGGTGAAATATATATTTTAATCTTTGTTGAATAATCATACAATTATATACCTAGTCAGTGCATTGTTGATGTGTTTGATATTATGTCACCTTTTAGATCCTGTTTTTGGTTGACATAATTAGTGCAACGCAGTGGGAGAGATTTACTAAAGCTGGAGCACTCAGAATCTGGGACAGCTGTACATGGTAACCAATCAGCTTCTAACTTCAGCTTGTTCAATTAAGTTTTGGTAATAAAACCTGTAAACTGATCTGTTTCTATGCAGAGCTGCTCCAGATTTTGCACTCTCCAGGTTTAGTAAATAACCCCCAGTGTATCAAATTTAAACTAGAAGGCTTTCAAATGGCAATGATATGAACCTTTATTTATTAAATTTCAAGATTTATATTTCCTATTTAAAAATATAAAAATCTGTAAATATTCTTATATGATCTTAAAATATTTCTTCATGATACTGTACATCGAATTACATATAGGTAGCATACTGAGGACTGGTAGAGAAAGCAGTGACCCTTCCCCTAAGCACTCCCAGTATTTGGGCAGGTCACATGGCCAAGCACATGATATGCATGTTATTGTTATTGAGCAATATTCACAAAATGATAAGTGGTGGAAGGCAGCAGGGAATTTAGCTGGCAGAAGGCAGGGTATGCACTATCACATAGATAAAAAATAAATAAATAAATGTGTTTAAAGTGTGTGCATGTGGCTGAAAAGGAAATCAGATTCTTATAAAGACTGGTTGTTTTTTTAACATTGCCCAGGGAAGCACAGCTTGCCAAATGAGAGTGTGCATTTCAAAACAAATGCAGTATAGCAAACAAGGGGGTGTGACCTGAGTTCTCACCCTTTCTTTGGCACAGAGGGGGTGTTACTGCAAACTTTGTGCCTGCAGAGAAAAATGACATCATCGCTCTTTTGGAGAAACCCATACCCCTGAAAGTAACAGATGGCCAATTTTACTGTTAGCTGTGCATAGAAACACAAACATATTAATTAACAGTCTCTTCCCTCCTCATCTCAGCATCTCAGTGAACAATTGGAAATTACTAATAGACCACTCAGTTAATTGACCCATTAATTGTCTTTTTTTTTGGTCTTCACATTCACAGAATCATCCAATGCTGGAGTATCTGAAAAAGAAAATGATCGTACACTTTAAAGGCCCAGTCATACCTAAATTTGCATGTGCTGACACATTGATGCACATTGGGGTGTGTTGCACATTTAATGGACCCTTAATGCTTGCACCCACCAAAAAAGTACCTGCCTATTTTTTTTCCATGGTACCACAAGGCAAAGAATGTATTCATTAATACTTGCATTGCGGTGTACTGAATAGCATTTGCATGAGAGGGCCCCTTCAGACCCCTCAAGGCCTCTCTGCAGAACCAGTGGTTAGTGACACATGCTGAGTATTGTACGGGTATCTGCTCCTCGTTCAATCCTGCGATCATAGGCAAAAGGAAGTCTTCCAGTATCACCTTCCTTTGTGGCTCTGTCATGACCAAATGCTGATTGCCGCAAAGAAAAACTGATATTGAAATATACGAAAATATGTGTCACAATAAGCCATGTTCTTTCAAGATGCCCGCCTTTCATAATGCCCACCTATCTGGAACTATGGAGCATTTTCTTTATTTCTGATCCTACTTCCTACCATGAAAGTAATAGTTGTTTTTACCCCCAGGCCAAAAGCTCCCAGTTCTCCCCTGGGAAGGTGCAATGGTTAACTCTCTGTATGCACCTTGGAGTGATATTGAAAACAAATAACAAAGCACTAAAACACACATGCACAATCCATTGTTGTACCACACGTTAAAGTAGAAATATAGGCAGAACTTTTTTTATTTTGGATAGAGTAAGGGAGGGTTATAATCCCTCTACATTTATTTTTTACCTTCTGTGTCCCATTGGGGAGATTTACCTTTACTTCCTGTCCAATAGCCACAGCAGGAAGTGAAAGATAACCCTCACAAATTAAGGGAATCCATTGGGGACCCTCAGGTCACCAGAACTAGAGTCCCCATTTGAAATTGTCCCTCCATTACTTTTTTGGGACCAACCAAAAAGTTGGAGTTTTGTTCACTTTCGATGATAATGGTAAACAGGACAAATTGAGAGGGTGACTCTCCCTACAGCTTGGCACAGAGTGCAATAAAAACCTAAAAGGTGTTCTAATCCATCTCCACTCTGTCCAAAACTAAGAAAAAGGTTTTACCTTTAGTTATACAATAATGCATATATTACAGTAAAATTTGCACATACAGTAAAAGTGTGAAGCCACCCCAACAGTTAACCTTTACACCAGAAAAATAAAAATGTAAGATGAAAAAGCAAATCCTTGTAAAGTTTAAAGTGGTAGTAAAGTCTGCTTTTTTATTTATACCAACAGGTAAGCCTATAGAAGGGTTTACCTGTAGGTACAGTAAACATCTCCTAAATGTACAACATTTAGGAGATATCTACTTTAGTAGCAGCAGGTGACGTCACCAGCACATGCACACTGCGCTCTCAATGGACGCATGCCATCCTTTGGGAAATCTGAGCCACGGCTGTGACTCTTGCACATATGCGCAGGAGAGACGTCTTTGTGGGCTCGGTCATTTAAATGACTGGAGCCTGCAAACCCAAAAGGAAGACTGAGTGAAGATAGAAGCCCTGTCAACAGTGACAGCGTGCAGCTGGAGAGTTTTGTTTTAAGGTTAGTCTGTCATAATGAAATTATTACACTTTTTTTGTGGTTTAATACCAATTTACCCACTTGCCTCAGATCCTTATGTCCTCTGATTTCATTGGTTCTTGTGCTTGTATGCACTAAAATTCATTAAAGCGTATTTTTTCCCAAACATTTGCGTTTGCATCAATATTGTGTGACATAAAAAACTGCAACAATCAACATTTTTTTCCCATGGCCATTGCTTTCAGCAAATATTTACTTTTGGGTGGTTTCAAGTAATTATCTAGTAAAATACACACTGATTACATGTACATGAGAGATGTCAGAATAGGCTTGGTAGTCAAGGAGTTAAAGTATAAGGCAAGCCATCACCAACTCACATTTAAAGCAGTCCTGCTTAATTAGTCCTCTTAAGCAGTCCTTGCTTTTTTAAATAAATGTCATGTTTATATACTGTAGCTTTCTTTATCATTTATCTTTGGTGGACATATGACCACTGATGCTTTACTTGGGCTCCTACCTTACAGAGAGGTAGGTGTTCTATACTTCTACGTCTCCACTCTTCCAGCTCTCGCATGCTCAGTGTCTATGGCTGACAACAATTTTAGGGTCGATGTGGTGACATGATTATGTCACTGCATAGATAATTAGGGAGACATGGATCAGTGGCTGACAATGTAGCAAATTCAGCAGCAATAGCATAGCATTGCTGGCTTTCGACAGGAAAGAAGAGGATAACAGCAGTGCTGGCAGGATTAACACTTGGAAATGAGGGGATGATAAATTATAGCACATTTATATGTTTTATAATAAAATCATGTTCTTTATTTCTCCAAATTTTGCCTTTTGCCTGGAGCTTCACTTTAATTTTACAAGTCATGGCAAGTTTGCTTTACCTATCACCTCTTCTTTGCCTTCTGTGACATTGTTTGGTGACATTAGTCCCTGCAAGTGGACTGTTCTCAGGATGAAGATTCAGCGTCTCCCTTATAACCGAGCCTAATATAAAGTGATTGGAAGCTGCTCACACAATAAGGCTTTCACATTGTATTAGGTTCATCTGTTCTCATGCACTTGCTTCCAGCAACACCACAGAGGTGTTACTATAGAATCCCCAATAACAATTGTTGGACTTTCCCCTTCTGCCACCTGTGCCCTGTTGCCAGACAGCAAAACAAAACCCATCACATTTCCAGACAGTACACTATTTATAGACTTGCTAACCTTTGGAAGACAGTCAAGGCATGCAGTCTAACTATACTTTGCGTAGCCTTGTACAATTCTATTGCCAGGTATGGGTTAACCTAATAAATAATTAACTGTAAAACCTGACTCAGAGTAGAAATACATCTACATAGCCTTAATGTAAATCAACCTAAAGGTTAAAGAGGATCTGTCACATTAGAAATTCCTAGTAATCAATTAGATTGATGCAAATTATGACATTTTCATATATACTGTATTTGCCAGTAATGGCTATTTTCAAAGCTACCTTTTCATAAAGCGAGTTGGCTTCTATTTTTGCAATTTAGCAAAAGGCAAATTATTCAAAGCATTAGCCAGGGGGGTGATCAAGTTCATTTCCAGTTGATTATCTGTTGATATTGCCAATAGATCCATTATTTGAGACAGATAAAGCTTTATTTTGGTGGTATTTATTCACCGCTGGGAGTTTTATTTTTTTTGCTATGTAAATGAAAAAGTCCAAACATTTTGAACAAAAGTGTTTTTTTTATAAAATTTTGCAAATAAATAATATTTCATCATAAATCTTTGCCAAAATTTATTACGTTATCTTTTTAGTAAAAATAAACAAAAAACAAAATTAGTTTATAACCAAAAATTATAATTTTTAAACATTTTTTTTTACATTTTTATTTTTTTTTTTATATTATTATTTTTTTATTTATTTATTTTTTTACATACTGTCACCCTAGCAGTACAGTGTCACCATGGTGACACTGTACTACTTGTGGGGGGTGATGAAGATTTTTTTTTTTTTTTTTTACACTGATTGCTTTTACACCCATATAGGTATAGTACTGAGTGAGCTGTGATTGGTCACACCTTGTCACATGGTACAAGGCTGTTGTGAACAGCCTTGTACCATGTGACCTCTGTGATCATTCACAGATTTCACACGTAGTAAGCAATGATGTCACAAGTGACATCTTGCTTACTACTTTGCATGTGATCACTGATTGGCCAATCAGTGATCACATGATCGGGACCTCGTACAGAGGTCCCGTCCGACGATCGGTGTTTCACTGTGTCCGGAGGACACAGCGGGCACCTGATCGCGGTGCTGCGCGCTCCCAGGGAGCACGCACAAGCAGGATGCGGGGAGGCCGTTCATAAATGGCCACCCGACCCTGCACTGCCACCGTCCGGCCGTTTATATGCAACGGCCGGTCGGGAAGTGGTTAAAGATCTTACCTGAGGTGATTGTAGCCGTATTAGTGCATTTGCGACAGAAACAATTGAGTACTGTCCGTGATACTTTTTTTATTTGCACTAACATACAATTTTGAGGACAAGCTTTCGGGGTATGTCTCCTTCTTCAAAGTCCAAACAGTACTATTACAAATCACAAATTTTAAGCAGAATTTTAGAAGGGATTGAGAATCTAAAGATCTTACCTAAAATTCATTGTAAAGCCTATTATGATTGGCTGAAGGTGAAGGTTCCCTAATCACTTTCCATTCGCTGTTAGTTGGGTGAAATATATATTTTAATCTTTGTTGAATAATCATACAATTATATACCTAGTCAGTGCATTGTTGATGTGTTTGATATTATGTCACCTTTTAGATCCTGTTTTTGGTTGACATAATTAGTGCAACGCAGTGGGAGAGATTTACTAAAGCTGGAGCACTCAGAATCTGGGACAGCTGTACATGGTAACCAATCAGCTTCTAACTTCAGCTTGTTCAATTAAGTTTTGGTAATAAAACCTGTAAACTGATCTGTTTCTATGCAGAGCTGCTCCAGATTTTGCACTCTCCAGGTTTAGTAAATAACCCCCAGTGTATCAAATTTAAACTAGAAGGCTTTCAAATGGCAATGATATGAACCTTTATTTATTAAATTTCAAGATTTATATTTCCTATTTAAAAATATAAAAATCTGTAAATATTCTTATATGATCTTAAAATATTTCTTCATGATACTGTACATCGAATTACATGCCACACATATAGAGTTTGTTCTCTGTAAAGGATATCACACTTGTGGTTTTTGAGTGCCAGAAAGCTTATAGTATATCTATTTTTTCTCCAGCAAGGAAAACAGTGGGAACACAGTTATAACATCACTAAATATTAATGTAAAACTGGTGAGACTAGCAGTCAAAGAAACAACAGCTTCAGTGATCTCACACATCATATATACAGATATGAGGCTCTATGCAAAGTCATGAAGTGCACCACTATTTTTCAGGAGGAATTTAAGAAACAAATAGCATTTCAGGGTACTGCTTTGACATAATTATCAATTCTAATAGTTTCCTATCTTCTAAATCTCCACTTCTTGAGTTCAGATCCACTTTTATAAACTGAGATGAATTTCATGATCAATACCATAAAACATGTTGGGTATCCGCAAGAATATTCTCAAATATGAGGTCTAAATTCTTCATAATAGCCCTTGGCAGCTGAAAGTGGCTGTAATTTTCCAGCAGTCTGAAATCCTTTTTGTGTAGGACGCCCACATCGAACACTCTGCCATTACACCATTGTAAACCAGCAGAGGAAATGCTGATTTATGGCACACTACTGTCAATTGGTGGCAAAGATTTTTCATTCCTACCTGTACGAGAAATTATAGGCTTAGAATACAGTAATGAGTTGCAAACTTGGAAAAGAATATAAAGTTTAATGGGCCAGAACAAAATGGAAAGAAATGTTCATTGACAATAACATATCTTTTCTAATTAACAGATTGCTACATGGAATGAAGATGACAAATTGATCCCATTAGCCACTGATGCCCAAGCAGGAAATGAATCCATAGGGGTTCAGAATAGGACGTACATCGTTACCACCATTTTGGTATGTGTAATGGTTTAGTATTTAGAATGGTTTTTGCTGTTCTGTGTTTTTAGTAGCAAAGACTAAGATTTTCTGCAGTCTTCCTGCTTTGTCTACAAATTACAATCAATACATTTAAAATATTTGTAATATTGTACATTGTATTAATAGTGGTTTGTGATCCTCAGATAGAGAAAAAATATTGGTCTATCTTATCTATTTAAGGTATTGTATGGTGTTATGAATGCTTTAGTGGTATATATTATAGATAATATGAAATATTGCATGTGAATATTATGTATTCTTTTATCTAACCAGCAGGGTTCTCCTTACCTATATGTTGCAAAAAGCCTGAAGTTGACTAAGTTCACTAACTCTAGCTGAAATTTTCACACACAAATACCTGCCACCTTTTTCTAACACCTTCCACTAATACCATCTGTTGACTCCTCCTGACTCCTTCACCTGACTTCATCTCTTTCCATAGGGCTTTTTCCAAGTTTTAATCAAAGATGAAAGTACCTAAAAAGGAAACAACCTCCACTGTGTTGTGTCTTTAGGTTTGCCAGGGCTAGATTTCTATCAGTGGAGCTTGTAGATACACAGCTTCTGGTGCCCAAAGAGCACTTTTCTAGATATATGCCTTTTAGACTTAAAGCGGTCGTAAACGTTTTTCTGCTACTTATAATAAAGCTGACCTGTCGGAAAAATTATTATCTCCTAAACGTGAACCGTTTAGGAGATATTCACTGTTTCTTCAGCTGGTGACGTCACTGGCGCATGCACGCTTAAGGGACAGCATACTCATACCATCTCTTGACTCCTCCTTCTGACTCCTTCACCTGACTTCATCTCTTTCCATAGGGCTTTTTCCAAGTTTTAATCAAAGATGAAAGTACCTGAAAGGAAACAACCTCCACTGTGTTGTGTCTTTAGGTTTGCCAGGGCTAGATTTCTATCAGTGGAGCTTGTAGATACACAGCTTCTGGTGCCCAAAGAGCACTTTTCTAGATATATGCCTTTTAGACTTAAAGCGGTCGTAAACCTTTTTTCTGCTACTTATAATAAAGCTGACCTGTCGGAAAAATTATTATCTCCTAAACGTGAACCGTTTAGGAGATATTCACTGTTTCTTCAGCTGGTGACGTCACCAGCGCATGCACGCTTAAGGGATAGGATACTCATGCCGTCTCTTCAAAGCTCTGTGCCACAACTGTAACTCCTGTGAGCATGTGCAAGAGTGACATCATCACGGCTCAGCCATTCAAATGTCTGGAGCCTGCGAAAAAGGAAGGTAGACGGGGTAAAGATGGAAGCCCTGTCAGTGGTGACAGTACACCTCTGGTGGGCTTCATTTTAAGATAAGTCTCTCATAAAGTGCTAGTATGCGATGCATACAAATACATTATGGCCTTATCTTACAGGGGGCATAGACATTTTTTTTCTGCATTTACTACTTTAAGCCTGACTTAGAATATTGAAACAATATGTAAAAGATAAAAGTAACTTAAGCTACCACAAAAGAGTAACTTCCTCCAGCTATCTGGCATCAATGCTTCCATGTCTGATACTGACACTTTCTCCCTGTCTTCTACTGGGTCCTGACTTTTAGGCAATCCTGGTTGGCTGGCCAGGAATGACATAACTTCTGTGCATGCGTGCTGGGGTTACGTCATCCAGGCACTCACGGGATGCGAAGATTGTATACTGAACTACGTTTGCATGGCTTTGTGTACTATTAGAAAAAAATAGGCAGAGAAATGTTTATGGCAGAAGAGAAATACAAAGTCTCTTCTGCCCTAAAAAGCTCTCTGAAAGCATTGAAAAAAACGTTCCGCTTGAAAGAAAAACATTGAAAATAAAATTGACTGAAAACCATTAAAGTCTTGTTTTAAAAGGATCAGATAGCAGTACTGATGTGTTCTAGAACAGTAAACTGTGCTGCTTTGATAGACAGAAGAACCAATAGCATTGTTCTGTTGGATAGGAGAATCAATAGTACTGTTCACATAGAAGAGCCAATGACATTGCCCTGTTGCAGAAAAAAAGTTAATATTACTGCTTTGCATTTTGTTGAATGTCATATTTGAGTTCACAGGAAATGAGAAATCTCTACAATTAAAACCTATCCAGCATTAAAAACATGACATGATTAACCCTGCCCAGATCTATCACAATAAAAAGCATTTTGGGCAGTGCTATGCTTTACATAGTTACACAATTTATTACCATCTTAGAGAACGAGCTGATGGCACTGCTTGGAAAGGAGAGATCTTGACACTGATGAGGAAGAGTACCAATAGTACAACTTATCATGATGTTCTGCACTTACACTTGTATAAGCTGATGGCATAAAAAAATTAAAAAATCTAATTACTTCATAAATTAAGGCCAAAATGTCCTCTGCTACATATGTTTGGTAAAAAAAATTCTGAATAAATGTATATTATTTAGTCTGTAGAAATGTTATATAGTCCACGAACTATGGGATATATATTTGAAAATTGATCTATTCTGAAGTACTGATAGACAATCTCTTTTCCATAAAATGTCAGGACAGTACATATACCCCCCCAAATGATCCCTTTTTTTTGAAAGTAGACTGTCTGGATATTAAGTAAGAGGCATGGTGAGTTTATTGAAATAGCATTTTTTTCTCATAATTTTTGGAAAATGAAGAAATTAAATAAAACATTTTTTTTCACAATTTTTGTTTTACATACCGTCACCAGTGCAGTACAGCATCATGATACTGATCAGGGACATTGACTGGTGACAGCATGTTAAAAAATTATTATTATTTATTCAATATTTTTTATATATTTTTACATTTTCTTTTACTATTTTTTTTTAAATACTTTCATTAGAGTAGCTAATGCTACCAGTTTAACATTGTACTATACGGGGGGTGATCAGGGTTTTTTTTCTCACTTTGATTGGCGGTACAATGAAATTCATTGTACGAGCAATGCTTTGAACTGTTATGAATGGGTTAACTTCATGACAACTGTAAATACTAGTGATCTGTGATTGGCTACAGCTAATCACATGGTACAGTGTGCCGTGATTGGCCCAGGTACCATGTGATAGCTGTGGGCCAATCACAGTTCACTAGTAAAGGAAGCAAAGCTATTATGAATTACATTGATACAAACCAGCTTTGTTGACATTGTCCAACAGTGAACGGACTGTATCGAGGATGGACGGTATTTTTTACAATGTAAGCTTTTGAATAAATTGTGTTTACTATATTTATCACTCCACTGAGTCTGCTCCTATCTGTCCTGTGAGGAATGGGGACCCCGATGCCCATGGCTGCATGAGAAAGGGATTCCATTGTGTACTCCTATAAAGGAAAGCATACTCCCAGGGACGGCAATTCCATCTGGTATAAGGGAATTTCAGAATGCTTTGAAAGCAGCAAGAGGGTAATTGTATATTATCCCATAAGCAGAGTGGTGGCACTTTATTTTTGGCACAATTTTCACTGATCATTTATTGTGGTTTTTGTGATATTTCACGTATTGCAGTGGTTGTTTCACAGGACCACTAGTGAAGTGGTGTGTTGACTTTCACTTCACATGTATGATGTCTATTTATTAGTATTTCTATATCACCAGTGTGGTTGCATGACATCACTTATAATTTTTATTTATTAAAGATAATGCACTATATCTAGTTTATTTTCTTTGAGGTGCTTTTGGATTGAAGGGAAGATTTGGACATTTACACAGTTGGAAGATTGGAGAGCGTGGACTATAATTTTTATAATTTCCATAGTTATTTATTTTTTAATATTTTTTTATGTTTGTTTAAAATTTTGGATTCTCCAATTTTGAATTTTGGACTGTATTATGGACATTATGTTAGCAGTATGAGACTGCGGGAGAGGGTGTATGTAGATTATTGAAAAGGTTTATGCCAGGTACAGGAAGAACTGGGCTCAGAGGAAGTGAGTTGAATGATGCTAGCCATTAGACGAAGGGCATTTAATGTCAGTAAAAATCAGTGCAGGGGAAATCTGCTGACTGAAGCTGAAAATTGCAAAAAAAGGCCAATTTTGTTTTTTTATCCTTTAAAGGGCTACTCATTTTTATTTCAGTATTTTTGGCTGGAGTTATGCTTTACAGTATAACTAAATGTCAGGGGGAACTACTGTTGTTTTTGTTTTTCTTTTTTTATGGCTGTCTGTGTCCCTGTTGGGAAATTCTCTTGATCACCAATGTTGTGAGAAATGAAAGTTATGTCACATCCAAAATTTTGAGTTGCCATCAGAACACGAGTAGAGGGGAAATCTCCCTACTGAGTTGCGGATGGCAGAACAAAAACCTGACAGCAGTTTTAACCTCCTCCTACTCTATCTTTGGATATACTTCAAGGTGTAACTAAAGGCAAAGCTTTTAGTTTTGAACAGACTGAAGATGGTTTAGAACACCTGTCAGGTTGTTATCGCTGTCTGTGCCCCCGTTAGGGAGATTCACCCTCTCCATCCTGTTTATCACTATCTTTGAAAGTGAAAGTAAAAGAAAATACCAAATTATGGGTTGACATCATCACTCCAATAGAGGGGAAATCTTCCAATTGGGACAATAGTTCTGGTGAGACACCGGGATTCCCTCACTTTGGAGGGATTTCCTCCCACTTCCTATTTTGGCTATGGGACAGGAAGTGAAGGGAAATCTCCTCAGTAGGACACTGGCAGAAGGCAAAAAAATTATGAAGGTTATACCCTTTCTTACTCTATTCAAAATGAAAAAAAAAATGTTTGCTTTTAATTACACATTAAAGTGTTACTAAACCCAGGACCCTGCATTCACTATATCTGGTCTCCCACAGTACACAGAACATGGAAATGCAATTATTTTAGTAAATGTAAACTGATAAATATCTTTTCTCAACAGCGGTCAAAGCAGTCTTGTGACTTCTATCAGTGTCCAGCAGAGCACTGGTTAAAGCTTGTAGGAGGAGTTTTCATTCTCCCCTGATTGTCCTATGAGGCTGCAGGACTCCTGACCCTCTGT